TATGCCAGCTACTGGAAGGTAGTTGTGCTTTCTGGGTTCGAGTCCCACTGGTGGGTGTTGTCCAAAGATTGTTTATCTTCACTTGTGGTTTATGCAAGTATAGGCTTATAAGCTGGACACGAGTTCTCTCACATTGACAGTGGCTTGACGAAAAATGCAGACTGACCCCTCACTCATATGGTGCCTTCGGGAGGTAGAGATGTTTGAGATATATATCTCGAACTATCTACTTCTTTTGTAAGGTCTGATGGCGTAGTGGGTTAAAGCATACTAGTTATGCCAGCTACTGGAAGGTAGTTGTGCTTTCTGGGTTCGAGTCCCACTGGTGGGTGTTGTCCAAAGATTGTTTATCTTCACTTGTGGTTTATGCAAGTATAGGCTTATAAGCTGGACACGAGTTCTCTCACATTGACAGTGGCTTGACGAAAAATGCAGACTGACCCCTCACTCATCTGGTGCCTTCGGGAGGTAGAGATGTTTGAGATATATATCTCGAACTATCTACTTCTTTTGTAAGGTCTGATGGCGTAGTGGGTTAAAGCATACTAGTTATGCCAGCTACTGGAAGGTAGTTGTGCTTTCTGGGTTCGAGTCCCACTGGTGGGTGTTGTCCAAAGATTGTTTATCTTCACTTGTGGTTTATGCAAGTATAGGCTTATAAGCTGGACACGAGTTCTCTCACATTGACAGTGGCTTGACGAAAAATGCAGACTGACCCCTCACTCATCTGGTGCCTTCGGGAGGTAGAGATGTTTGAGATATATATCTCGAACTATCTACTTCTTTTGTAAGGTCTGATGGCGTAGTGGGTTAAAGCATACTAGTTATGCCAGCTACTGGAAGGTAGTTGTGCTTTCTGGGTTCGAGTCCCACTGGTGGGTGTTGTCCAAAGATTGTTTATCTTCACTTGTGGTTTATGCAAGTATAGGCTTATAAGCTGGACACGAGTTCTCTCACATTGACAGTGGCTTGACGAAAAATGCAGACTGACCCCTCACTCATCTGGTGCCTTCGGGAGGTAGAGATGTTTGAGATATATATCTCGAACTATCTACTTCTTTTGTAAGGTCTGATGGCGTAGTGGGTTAAAGCATACTAGTTATGCCAGCTACTGGAAGGTAGTTGTGCTTTCTGGGTTCGAGTCCCACTGGTGGGTGTTGTCCAAAGATTGTTTATCTTCACTTGTGGTTTATGCAAGTATAGGCTTATATATATATATATATATATATATATATATATATATATATATATATATATATATATATATATATATATATATATATATATATATATATATATATATATATATATATATATATATATATATATATATATATATATATATATATATATATATGACCGAAAAAGTAACATTAATAATTCTAACACGAATTTTCTTGATCTTTCTTACGTTTCTTTTCACTGTTGATGGTAATTCAAAGATCAATTCTCCAAAATTCATTTTTATTTCTAGTCTGACGCGACACTTGAGCGCGTTTCGTAAAACTTATTCCATTTTCAAAGACTTTAGTTTACACACACACACACAACTTTAACTGAATAGAGCTTAAACATCTTTCGAGTTTTTATACCTACATTTGAGTGAAGTGACATGTTACAATAGTTTTGGATGAGGTGAAAATAAACTTTTAACAAGACAAAACACGAAACAATGAAATACAAACAGGTATTAAAGGTAGGTAACTGCAGAACGCCTATTTTCATTGGCCCATATTTCTTGATGCTTCTATATTTGGAGCGGAGTCTTGAAGTGGGTAGAATATAGTTGTGCATTAATTGGCTGTTGATTGCTGGTGTTGACTTCTTGATGTGTAGTTCCTCGCAGAAGATTTCTCTGGTGATGGTTTGGTTGTGGGAAGAGGCTATATGTTCCTTAATGGAGCCCTGTTGCTTATGCATCGTTAAATGCCTGGAAAGAGATGTTGTTGTCTTGCCTATATACTGAGTTTTTTAGGCTTACAATCCCCAAGAGGGCATTTGAAGGCATAAACGACGTTGGTCTCTTTTAAAACGTTCTGCTTTGTGTCTGGAGAGTTTCTCATGAGTAGGCTGGCCGTTTTTTTGGTTTTATAGTAAATTGTCAGTTGTATCTTCTGATTTTTTCTGTAGGGATAACGTTTCTACTAACAATATCTTTCAGGACCCTTTCCTCCGTTTTATGGGCTGTGGAAAAGAAGTTCCTGTAAAATTGTCTAATAGGGGTATAGATGTTGTGTTAGTTGTCTCTTCAGAGGTTGCATGGCGTTTCACTTTCCTTCTTATGATGTCTTCCACGAAACCATTGGAGAATCCGTTGTTGACTAGGACCTGCCTTACCCTACAGAGTTTTCGTCGACTTGCTTCCATTCTGAGCTGTGGCTGAGGGCACTGTCGACATAAGCGTTAACAACACTCCTCTTGTACCTGTCCGGGCAGTCACTGTAGGCATTCAGGCACATTCCTATGTTTGTTTCCTTAGTGTAGACTGCAGTGTGGAAAACTCCGCTCCTTTCCATGACTATTACATCTAGAAAGGGCAGCTTCTCATCCTTCTCCATCTCGTAAGTGTAACGCAACACAGAATTCTGCTCAAATGCCTCCTTCAGCTCCTGCAGATGTCTGACATCAGGTACCTGTGTAAAAATGTCTTCAACATACCTGCAGTATATGGCCGGTTTCAAGTTCATGTCGACTAAGACTTTTTGCTCGATGGTACCCATGTAGAAGTTTGCAAACAGGACACCTAGGGGAGAACCCATGGCGACCCCATCTACTTGCTTATACATGTGTCCATCCGGGCCCAAGAAGGGTGCCTCTTTAGTACAAGCTTGGAGTAGTTTCCATAGACTGTTTTCTGGTATGTCAAGAGGAGTACAGGCCGGATCACGGTACACTCTGTCGGCTATCATCCCGACTGTTTCATCCACAGGTACGTTGGTAAACAGAGATTCTACGTCCAACGAGGCTCTTATCCCTGTGGCCCGTGTTCCCCACAGCAAGTCAACAAATTCCTTTGGAGACTTCAGGCTGAAGGCGCAAGGGGCATAAGGAGTCAGCAAGCCGTTGAGTCGTTTCGCCAGTGTGGGTATCTGGCTGATGATTGGCTGAAGTGGGTTTCCAGGCTTGTGTGTCTTGACATTTCCATACTCATATCCAGGTTTATATTCCCCAATAATCTTTGGCAGGTAGAGTCCAGTCCAGCCCTTCTTTTCCACAGCCCATAAAACGGAGGAAAGTGTCCTGAAAGATATTGTCAGTAGAAACGTTATCCCTACAGACAAAAATCAGAAGATACAACTGACGATTTACTATAAAACCAGAAAAACGGCCAGCCTACTCATGAGAAACTCTCCAGACACAAAGCAGAATGCTTTAAAAGAGACCAACGTCGTCTATGCCTTCAAATGCCCTCTTGGGGACTGTAAGCTTAAAAAAAACCAGTATATAGGCAAGACAACAACATCTCTTTCCAGGCGTTTAACGATGCATAAGCAACAGGGCTCCATTATGGAACATATAATCTCTTCCCACAAACAAACCATCACCAGAGAAATCTTAGCAAACAACACAGAAATCATCGATAGATACAGCAATAGCAGGCGGCTTGACGTCTGCGAGGCACTACACATCAAGAAGTCAACACCAGCAATCAACAGCCAATTAATGCACAACTATATTCTACCCACTTCAAGACTCCGCTCCAATATAGAAGCATCAAGAAATATGGACCAATAGGCTTTCTACAATTACTTCCATTCAATACCCATTGTTTCGTGTTCTGTCTTGTGTTTGAATTTAATACCCATTCAATACCCATTGTTGAAATTTTGTTTTCACCTCATCCACCTCACCCAAATGTAGATATAAACTCGAAGATGTGTAAGCTCTATTCAGTTTCAGTTGTGTGTTTGTAAACTAAAGTCTTTGAAAATGTAATAAGCTTTACGAAACGCGCTCAAGTGTCGCGTCAGACTAGAAATAAAAATGAATTTTGGAGAATTGATCTTTGAATTACCATCAACAGTGAAAAGAAACGTAAGAAAGATAGAGAAAAATCGTGTTAGAATTATTAATCTTACTTTTCGGTCATATTAATAATATATATATATATATATATATATATATATATATATATATATATATATGTATATATATATATATATATATATATATATATATATATATATATATATATATATATATATATATATATATATATATATATATATATATATATATATATATATATATATAAATCTATCTTTTGTGATCACTGACTGTTCATTATGTGGTAATTTTGTAATTAAGTGATATATGAAACATTAAAATTTTGTAATTACTTTTTTATCTGTTTCAATTCTCTAACTTGCTTTCTTAATTCCCCAGATAAGATGGAAATTATTATTGAAAAATTCTATGAAACACTCAAGAATTTTCATTGAATGAAACAAAATATTATTTGAGATTCATTTATGTATTAATTTAAAGAACATTATTGCAAAAATCATGACAGCAGTACGGATATATAACAATAGTACAGCTGTAAAACAAAAATCATGACAATAGTACGGCTGTAAGACAAAAATCGTGACAATAGTATTAGTGTATAACAATAATATGGCTGTAAGATAAAAATCATGACAATAGTATGGCTGTAAAATAAAAATCGTGACAATAGTATTGGTGTATAATAATAGTATGACTGTAAGACAAAAATCTTGACAATAGTACGGCTGTAAAACAAAAATCATGACAATAGTACAGTTGTAAGACAAAAATCATGACAATAGTACGAGTATAAGACAAAAATCGTGACAATAGTACGACTGTAAGACAAAAATCGTGACAGTAGTACAATTATATGACAAAAATCATGACAGTTGTATGGCTGTATGATAAAAATCATGACTGTAATGTGGGTGTATGTCAGGAATTATGACAATAGTTTGGGAGTATGACAATGACAGAGGACGAGAGCCAACGCCGTCAAGATGGTGAAGCTACTTGGGATGATGCGGATGGTGTATTGGCAGCATATTCAAGGTAGCTTCATCTGAGCAAGTAGAGTGGATGCTGCTGCGGGTCTCTCCGTCCCTTAAGAAAACAGTCACTCGTCTGTACACTCTCTCGCATGATGCGTTCACTGTGCCTGGAGGCAGGTCCTGAGGAGTGGCTACGCCTGAAAAAATGTATTAATAAACATTTTTAATTTGTTCGGTGAATATACAGATTAATTATGTTGAACACTAATAAATTCAAGAAATGTTTATCGTAGAATTATCTTTCTCGTGCTATGCCAACTTTATTATAAGTGACCAATATAATGTTTAAAATGTTGAAGCAATCTGTCAGTGGTGATGGACGAAGAGACTTTTACATAATTTCAAGTGTACTAGATTTTGTTGCAGTTCTCGCTATATTGTTGACCTCTGATTGGTCAAATGTATTCCAAGATAGTAATCAATTATCTCTTTAAGAACACTTGTTTTGGCTAACTCACCAGTTATATAATGCATTCGGACAATAATATAGGATGGAATATATATTTTGAAATTGTGTAAATTGCTTCATAAGATTGTTACATGCTTACTTAATGAACTATGGGGCTCGGTTCCAGAACGCGTTATGTGCTTCTGCAACCCTTTTCATCACCACCAGTGGGATGGGTATTGGGTGCATAAATAATGAGTAAATACAAATAATATGAACTACTTATTTTGTTGAAAAGGCAAAATAGAAAAATACATACACCGCATTAGGCTTGGGTACCCATGTGCATGGGGAGTAGGTTGACATGTTCCAGAAGAAGACAGGAAATGTCAGATTTGTTGAGAAAAGCCCGACTGACTACTAGAAAATTATATAATGCAGTGCTGTTACAAATTAAATCAGACTCCCGATAAAATTTAACAATGCAACAGAATCTGTAAAACACATTGACCACAACCTTACTGAAGTCAACGTAAGAGTCGTAAACACTCATTTTCCTTGCCTTGCGGTTACATTGCGTTGATTCCCGGGGGTCAATGTTCTCGCGACCTGGTCTCTGGAATTTTCTCCTGGTTCATGGTCTTGTCAACCAGGCTGTTTGATACGGTAGGCTGCGATGGAATCACAAGTCTGACGTATGTTAGGCTGGGATGAATTACAACCTGGTTGATCAGGTATCATTAGGAGGCCCTACCAGTCACCCTCCACTCAGCCCAAGACTCCCAGGTAGGTGTTTCAACTGATGCTGGTTATCCGTGGGTAACTAGCAGTTATGCTGCCGGCCTCCACTTTCACGCCTCGGTGACAAAGGATGCGACGTCACCAGCAAAAGTGAGTATAAGTACCACTGACCCTGCTCACCTCAGCAATCTCTTCTGGCAGCCCGTTCTCCAAAAATGAGGAGGTAAATGTAACAGCACAAGTAAGTTTAATTATGTACTATTCATAGCAGTCAGGAATTGTACTTATTTCCACTTAGTATTAAACCGTAGTCAAATATATTATGAATATTTGATTTTACCTGAAAAGCGGAATAGAAAACCACGACCTAACCTAACCTTCTTAGTGTGTGAAGATAAGCCTTTTATTGTTTCTTAATTATAATTAATACTTAACCTATAGCTATATTGATATTACAGTTTTATAAAACTAATGAAACAAAACTAAAATATATCAATTAATTGTAGAGTAACTCAGGATATTTTCAAATTTTGTATAAAATCTCTATTTTTAATAAAACAGAAAAATAATTTTTTTATAATTAAAACTTGTGTATTATGAATTGAACTTGAAAGTTTCATCCTAAAATTCTGAGTGTATTAACGGAAAGCGGTGAGAATAAATGAGGTGGCAAATGTAACAGCCTCATATGTGCAATTATGTACTATGTATGACAGTAAGGAAATGTACTTAGTATTAAACTGTACTGTTATTTCGGAGGATGGGTTGCTTCTGGTGCTCTGGGTCAACACAACAGCCGTCATTCGTCGTTTGCTCCCCGCTTCATCGTGTGTAGGTGGTGTTGTTTATGTAAATATTATTATTGTCACCACTATTTCTTGTATTAACGTGTCTGTTCATTTTATTGTTGTTAGTTTTCCCATGTGCTGGCCAAGTGTATGTTAACAGGGTTTCAGGAATAATTTTTCATTTGTTTGTTAATACTTAATAGTAGAGTAAATTGTGTTAAGTTTTCATTTGATTATTCTTTATATCCTGTGCAATTTTCACACTGCTAGGGCCAAAGCAGCACTTTTCTCTGTATTAATGCGAGGTACGAGCCACATTACATCTGTCCAGTAGGGCTGTGTTACGTCAGTTCTCTCTTGAACACTGATGGGGGTCGGCAAGTTAAGCCCCCTTAACTGTATTGGAAATATAATGAACAGTCTCTGACGTATATACATTTCTCTCTCATAGTATGTATTGGACATCTTTTTTCAACGGGGGTATTCGGCACATTCTGCCATGCCTTCTGGTCCCATGTGATATTATTTATGTGTGGATGCACCCCAGGTCAACAATTTCTCCAGCTTTGAAAGGGGCTGTTATTGTGCAACAGTATTCCTCTCTAGAGAGCACTAGCGTCTTTAAAGGTATCATCACTGGTACGGCATCTCTTGCTTGAAAGGTTCTTGTTATTCAACCTGTGTTACGAATTCAAGTTCATCGCCAGAGCACGGAACAGTGACGGCAACGCCATCTGTGAGTCCGCTCCCAAAACACCCCACAACATGGACAACACCATCTAGTGATGACGGGAATATACCGGCAAGAGACGCTAGATTCCTGTCCTAGTCCTAGTCGGCTTGTGAGTTAACTGGTGCTGACCTCTAATGAGGTGGTGGTTAGCAAAGCAGCGCCATCTGTCATAAGCGGAGTTTGGTGTAGGTGTCTAAGCCAGTAAGTGATGTTTCCTAGTGGTCCCATGTAGTGTCCCAGTGTACTGATGATGTGTCTGTATTCACAGAGTCGACGTAGAGCTGCTGTGATACAAGAACAGTCAGTCTACCCAGGGCAGCCAAGGTCTGCCTGTCTAAGGTCTGTAGGTGTCTAAGCCAGTAAGTGATGTTTCCTAGTGGTCCCATGTAGTGTCCCAGTGTACTGATGATGTGTCTGTATTCACAGAGTCGACGTAGAGCTGCTGTGATACAAGAACAGTCAGTCTACCCAGGGCAGCCAAGGTCTCTACACCAGTCTACTTTACAGAAGCAGTGAGCCGCTGCCGGAAGACGACTGTGAAGCGTCCTACTGTCTGCCTGTGGAGTGGCAGTGACGGGATTCGCCGTATCCGGGGCTGGCTGGTAGAAGAGACAACTGACTAAGGTGCTGAAGAGGAGAGTAACCAGTGAGTTGCACGACGCTCCTGCCTAGGGCCCGCTACCCTTGTATCTGCAAGTGAAGTGGCCCAACAGCGAGGCTGATTGGTACCTGCCAGCAACAGGCTGGACTGTGGTTGTGGGCCTTCACGAAGAGGCACTTAGCGGAATTGTGGTTTGGCTGGCCCTTTGCCAGGGTAGACCCATCGTTGTTTCCTGGTACCTGCTGAGGGTAGTACCACGGATGAGGAAACACGGTACAAGACTGCATTGAATGAGCTTCACTTAGTGTTTAGTGTCTTCAGAGAGAGAGATTGTTGTACATATAGTGTAGTAATACTTCCGTCTAAGAGTTTTATATATATATGGTAATAGGAAAAATAATTATATATGGATAAAGTGATGAACTGGTGTATTTAATATACCTCCCCCTTTTGTTTTACTTGCATTACTGAGCTCACCCCTTGAAAGCCTCTACTAACTTGGGGCCGGATACGAGAACTTTCGTACCACCAGAAACGAAGTTTTGGTTTGCATTTTCTAGTTGTTTTTCCCAGCTTATATCTTTGAGGTCTTGGTTTATTTGTTCACAGTTAATTCGAATTACTTTCTAATTCGATTAACTAAAATTAAAGTTAATTTCTCCTACTCTAGAATTTGACTGTGCAGGTTTATAGCCCATTTGTTAGCTTAGCAACAAGTCTTTGAATCATTATGTTCCTGATCATTTCATTGTTATTTGTGAAAAATAGATCTAGTGTCTTTAGTGCCAACGTAGGTCTTTACTAGTTGGTTCTACTATTTGCTGGTTTAATACAAATCTGTCGCTCATTTGTAGTTGGTCATTTGCAAATAACTGTTCAATTGGGTTATTTCCCGGTATTCTCTCGCCTATAATTGTTTTTGATAAGTTCTTCCATTTGAGGTGCCGTAGGTTGAAGTTGCCAAGCAAGATGATATGTGGGGCTTGATTTGTAAGGTTTTCTAAGCAGTGTTCTGTTTTCATTAGTTGGTCTTTAAACTGTTGAGGATTTGCTTCTGGTGACTTATATGTAAGGACAATAACCACATTTAGTATCTCTAATTTGATTATCAGCTCTTCCACCTTATCGTTTATGGTGTTCAGACAGCAGCTCAGTACGGATGAGTGTGTCTGATGTATAAGCTGACACCATCCTGTTGACTGTTTCCTGTCACATCTGAAAAGATCCGTATTTCACTATCATAGTAATCTTTTGTGTGAGTTTCAGTTAGAGCTGCACACACTGCATTTGCCTCATTTAGGAGGGTGCCAATAAAGTTCACTTTGTTTGATTTGCATGTTTTTATACCCTGAATTTTCTGAAATATATATGATGTTATCGTATTAGTGGAAGTGCTGGATGTTTTACTTGGTGTTAGTGTCTGAGGTTTTGGTAAAGCGGGCACTGTGCTTGTCTCCTCTCAAGCATTTGATGGAGTTGGAGGTAAGGGTCTGGACATTTTGAGCCATTCTTCTCCTCTTCTTCCTAAAAAATCGTCTTGGTATGTAGAGTTGTGACTGTTTTCATAGCGGTAGTCTATTTTTTTATTTGCCAGGTTTCTCTTATATGAGAGGCTGGACAGTTTCTGTTCAAAAATTCTCTCTTATTTAAAGAGCTCTTACAAAGTTCTGGGTGGAAAAAATTGCAGCGTTTGGAGCATTTTCCTGTGCTAAGAATATTTCTACACTTTCTAGGGTGATCGTATGCATGTTCCTTCGTTCTTCCCGATATGCCATATATACATATATCTCATTTGAAGTATCGACAGGTCTGGGGTTCTTGTTTTGTTTGTTTCTCTTGGGTTGACCCTGCCGCTGAGCCCGACAACTCTGTCGTTAAGCCTGACGACTCTGGCATTGAGGTCAACGACTCTGGCATTGAGGTCAACGACTCTGGCATTGAGGGTGACAACTCTGGCATTTAGCCCGACGACCTTGATATTGAGGCCGACGAGTCTGGGATTGAGGCCGACGACTCTGGCGTTGAGGCTGCCGACTCTGGCCTTGAGGCCGGCGACTCTGGCATTGAGGTCGACTACTCTGGCATTGAGACCGACGACTCTGGCATTGAGGCCAACGACTCCGGCATTACGGCCCACAACTCTGGCTGGTGTCATGGACCCACCCTGAAACCTTTTGAAGTTTCTGAGCAGGCGATTATTGGATTGATGAAGATTATGCCACCCAAGAGGTGGAACGGGCATGAGTAGTCCATAAGTGGTAGATGTTTGGATTGAATGTGGTCTTTGTGGGTGAAAGCATATATTTTGTGCTGAGCTCGCATTTAAATAGTCAGCCCTAACTACATGGCTGCTATCGCGGGAAAGGATACTGCTTGACTGTATTTTTGAGGGTATCCAGCCGATGGAAACCTTTTTTGTCCGGAAGAGTGGCAGTGATGATGGTTTCAGGCAGGTTACTGCAAGATTCAGGGACTCTTAAGGCTCTTCTAAGGTCATTGGTTGCTTCACTTTCCAGGAGATAGTGAAGTAATGGCTTTTCTGTGATTGTTTTGCAGAAGATGTTTTCCCACTCTCTGGGTTCACTAACTTCCGAGTAGCATCTGTAACCTAGACGTGGTCTATATAACCGAACTGCTATTTCGCTGTGGATTGCTTTCTGGATATTAGGTTTCCTGTCATACTTGGTGGCCTAAAGATATATATCAGAAGGCGAACCTTCTGCTACTTATTATTGTAAATGGGCTTTCTTGAGGTTTGCAAGGTTTTTGGTGATGGTGATTTTTTATGTTTTAGACTGAGTTGGATTCTTTTGTGGATCACTGGATTATGAGGTGCTAAATTAGCGGTTACATCAGCTTTCCTATTTAATGGGATTCCAACATAGGATTGTTGGATCCAGTTTTGGGTTATGTTGAATCCATGTCTTCTAGTTATTGTTCCTAGATACAAAATTGTGGTGAATATTTCCGCGTTGTCTTCCCACTGTTTTTTTTTCCTAATATTTAAAGAGCAGGTTTTGAGTCTGTGTGTAAGATTGCATTTTGAGTGTTTTGTGCAATCACATATGTGAATGCCTGTTGTATGGCAAATAGCTCAGTTTGGGTTGATGATACTGGCCCTGCCCGTCTCCAATATGCCTGTTCGCTGCCTATACAAAGAGCAGCACCAACATTCTCATATTCTGTGTCCACTGATCCGTCTGTGAAGATGTGGATGGCTTCTTACTACTGCAATGCTGGTCATTTGCGTTTCTACGATGCGCCTTAGGATTGTTGGATAGGCAGCCTTTTTCATTGAAAACTTTCTATTACTATTTTGAAGGTAGGCTTCTCCCACGGTGGGGAACAAGTGTAGTTTGGGGTGTGGATGATCACCTCCTATATCACGAATCATGCGTTTTAATTGTAGTCTGTTTAGGACTTCTCCCACTCTGTCAGCCCAAGAGTTTGCGTGGTTTTGGTCAAGTCAAAGCACCAAGGCCTGCCGTACTGGGATTAGATCAGTGGGAAACAATTATGATACTGATAACCGTACCTGTTCTTTGAGTTAGTCTCTCTTGAAGAGAGAGCAAGCCCGCTTTCAGTGTTAGATTTTCCAGTCTGGTCCACAAGGGGCTCCCAGAGCAGCTCTCATAGCATTGTTTTGTGCTTTTCAAGCTTTTTACACAGTTGCTGTGATTGGCTTGTGAGTGAAGGTGCTGCTTAGTCGATCACTGATCCGGCTGTCTGTACATAGTATGTGTGAAACACTTGCAAATTAGCTCCTCCAGAGAGGGAGGTTAGCGACCTGAGGATTGCCCTGTGGCGAAGTAGTAAGACATTTGCATGGCATTTCGCGAGCGCTTTGGCCTGGGTTCGTATCCTGGCCGGGGAAGATTTACTGGGCGCATATCCTTAACTGTAGCCTGTTTACCCGACAGAAAAATAGGTACCTGGTTGTTAAACGATTTTGCAGGTCGTATTCTGGGGAATATTAGGATTACGAACTTGTCTGAAACGCTATGCGTATTAGCAGCTGCCAAGAATGTAAGAACTCCTGTATATATAAATAAATAAATAAAATAAAAATTGCCGTCAAATAACAAAATAAATAAAATAACTATTGCCGTCCTGGCCGCAGTTCTCTCTCTCAAGTAATTGTCTCAGCATTAAAATTTATCTGTGAGTCAAGGATTATTCCTAGATGCTGATAAGTGTCCACCAAATTGCTGATCCTGTAATTTGAGCTGCTTGATGTGCTTCAATATTTTTATGGCCATGTATTTTTTCTTGGTATGAACCTGCGTTACCTCTTCACTGATGCAGTCTAAGCATTTGGGTGCGAGTCACATCACATCCCATCCTTTTAAGATGAGGCAAATTCGTCCGCGTAGTCTAGCAGCTTGCAGTGTAGTAGGAGTTCCAACCTCATTATTCTTTCCATTAAACAGTAGAAGAATAGGGGCTGAGAATGCCTACTTGCGGTGTACCATTTTCTTGTCTTCTGTATTCGAAGACTGAGCCATGAAGTTTCACTCATGCCTCTCTGTTTATGTGACGGTTTTTGGCCCAGGAGAGCAGGTTGCTTTTGACCTCTTTTTCGACGAGGCAGCAGAGAATATCTGGGGTGCTAACCAGTTCAAAGGTTTTCTCGAGGTCCAGGAATATCAGCATTCCTGATCTGTCATTCAAGTGGGCTAACAGAGTGGTAATACATTCCACTGTGCCAACCCATTTTCTATAGACATTCATGTCCTGGTGCAGTTTAGGCATTTGCCACTGAAGTTCTGATTGCCATTCTGTCAGACGTCTTGGCTGCACAGTTTTGGAATGAGATGGGCCTTGGATTAGCTGGATCTTTGGGTTTTGTGATCGACACTATGTCTGCCGTATTCCAAGCTGTAGGTCTAGTTTGAGAAATCCAGGCTAAATTAATTAACCTTGGGTATGCAGTATCTCCTTCTGGGCCGAGATTCCTAATCATTTTATAAGTTATTTTGTAGTCTCCAGGGGATGTATCTTTGGAATTTTTCTTAGTCCGGCTGAGCTCATCCAGTGTGAAAGGGGTATTAGTGTCAGAGGCTTCTGCACATGCAGTTAGGTTTCTGTGTTACCTTTCTTCCTCTAATCCTTTCGGCACTGCTAGTACATCTGTTGGAAACTGATTACTGGCTGCTCTTTCTGCAAATTTGATTGTCAATACTTCAGCACCTTCTTGAGGATTTTTAGGGCGTGGGGCTTTTGGTGTTTAATTTCGTCTGGCCCTGTGGATTTGCTGCCACATCTTTCCAAGAAAGGTGTGTTCATTGAGCTGTGAACACCACGCCTGTGGTAGAAAAAAAAACTTTTGTTCTTTGATTATCCTGGTCTCTTTGTGTACATATTTCTCGACTTCACAGTGTGTGGAGGCTTTTTCAGTTGCAATCGCTTGTCTAAATTTTATATAGCTTCCTTGTGCAGTGGAGTCTGTGATTGAATTCTTTGGCACGTTCACAATAGTACCAATGACGACTTGTTTTTTTCAGTGAAATTGAGTAGTTGCCTGCACGTTGATCTGCTTTGACAAGATCTTGTTCTGCCTGATTAATGTCTTTGGGAACAACATAGTTTCTATGCCACTCTAAGATGAAGTTTTGAAAGCGATCCCATTTTGCTAAAGTGAAGTTCCAGGCTTCTGGTGGAGGTGGAGGATGGGTGGGTAGTTCCAACTTAAGATCAATTTGGACCCCATAGTGCTCCATCTTGTGAGTGTTGGCTCAACTGACCAGGTTGCTGCATCTTTGAAGGAGACTGGAATTAAGGTAAAGTCTAGTATGCTTCCTTGGATGAGGGTGGGATCATTCTTGTTTAGGATATGCATTTCTGGTAGCTGGTCTAGTAGATGTGCTGTGTGAGTTTCGGCCTCATTTGTTGCATTCGAGCACAGTGCCAAGCGATTATGAACGTTGAAATCCCCACCAATTATTGTGTTTGAGTTGGTGGGATGTCCAAATAACACTTAAAGTTCCATTGCTGCAAGTGGAAACCTGTAATCATTAAACATTTCAAGTTTGTCTTGTCTTAGTTCAATGAATACTCCCATAACCTCTGTCCCCGGTCCACAATCAGGTGGACTGATTGCGGGCTTAGAGATTAGGTCATTTTTCACATAGTTCATTCCCTGTATTGACCAGTGACTCATAGAAGGAAGAAGCCACGATAACCTGGTATTTTAGGTTCTAATCCGTCTCGAAGCAAGCTCTCTTGTAGTAGCAGAAAGTCTATACATTTTGGTTGTGAATTCCATTGCAGAATCTTTAGTCCTCATTGTTGTTGGAACTTGTTGATATTACCGTGACAGCCATGGAGGGAAAGTCAGATGAACTCGCCATGAAAGTTGAAATTGGAGTTGAAGATCTTGGTGCACTTTGTACCTTGATAATATTTGAGAATGACTCATCAAGGTCGCTTTCTGAACAACTGGACTTTATTACCTGTTTCTTTGTGTAGGTTAGTCGAGGTTTTTCTGCCCTGCGTCTTTGAAGGTGATGATATAGTTGGTTGGATTTTTTAAGGTTGTCCTCAATCTACTTTTGAGTCTCTATGAATTGTGTGATACCGTGTTTTGCTAGCAAGGTTTGGACCAATTCAGCTACCTTGGCTTTAAGAATTGGCCAGAGGATTTTTAAGTATGTGGAAGTATTACTTATTGCTTTGCTGGTTAGGGGCCTGCTTACGTTTTGGCCCTTATCAGTAGAAACCCGGACACTCATGCCTCCATTGCCGTGAGTGTTCTTACTGGATGCAATAAGCGAGCGACTACATTGGTCTATTTTCTGCTGGCACCCAGCTCTCCCTCTGTCCTGGACGGGGACTTTCTCATACTTCATGATGACATGGGGCATTTGCCTCCTCCACCTGGTTTAGTCTTGGAAAGCTGCACGCTGTTTTTGTGGGCAAGGGAGCTGGTATATATATGGGTTGATAATTCTGATTTGCTGCTATGATATTCGTTTGGATCCTTTTAAGTCTTTCAGTGCATCTCAGGTTCCAGGCATTGCTCCAAATTGCCTTGGGGCAATTTGGGCACTTCGTTTGCACTACCTGCTTAGCCTTGTGTTTATCTAGCCATATTTTGGCGTTGTGAAGCTGGCTTCAGACTCCACACCTCACTGGGAGTTTGCAGCTCTCCTTTTGATGTCCAAATCTCTGACATCTGAAGCAGCTGACGGGCTCTGGGAGCTTAAGTCGAGTGTAAGTAAACATGCTCCAAATGCCAATATCAAGCTTCTCTGAAATTGGTCCTTTAACAGTGACTAGGACTTGTCGGGTTTCCTGCTTCATTGATTTTATCTGGTGTCTTTCTGGTGACATAACATAATTTAGCTTTTCTACATGAGTTAGTGCCATGTGCAGGGAAAAGTGGAGGACAATGATTTTCCTTATTTTGTCCTCTGGCTTGAGCTTGTCACATTCCCGGTGACTCATAAGAATATTTAGAGCTGTTTCATCTTTGGGCCCTCAGGATATATTCACTTCTGAGGTTTTACTTTGCTGTGATCTTGAGCTGAGGATACATTTTATCAAGGTCTACTGCTGTGTTAAAAGAGGCTTTACCCTTTGTCTGTTGTACTCTGAATAGTGGTAGCGAGGATTTTGTCTGGGTAATTGCAGGGTTTGTCGATCTCTTCTCAATGGGTCTTAACTGAGTAGTTCTTCCTGTTGAAACTGGAGTCATTCTTTCTTTTGGAACTGGGAGCAACGCTGGTTCGCTCTCAACTTGTCTGGTGATCCACGGTATCGTCCGGTCACGTAATTTTAACTGAAGAGCATATTTTCGAGCGAGTTGGTTTGCGAATGCAACACAATCATCCATTTTCAGCCCTGTCGGTGTCCATCAATAATTTCGGTATGGTCGGACTCAATACACAGAGCAATGTGACACATAAATGACTTAAAACTTAAAACTGTAAATACTACTTAACGCTTGTAGATGAAGACTGATTGTTTGAGAGGGTGGTGGCATTTAGGAGGGCTTCTCTGTTTTTTGCAGGAGTGTTTTTTTCTCCAAAATTGCACTCATCTTAAGGAAGATAATATAATCCTTTTCTCAAACCCAGTATACAGAAGTATACAGTATACTCAGTCCAATTTTCTTTACGTTGGTCATAACCATGTTGGCCTGGTCATGCACCAACATGACCAAGTCATGTTGCCGCATTTTCTGTGTATGGCTGCGGAACTCAGTCGTCATTGAAAACCGTTGATAATCTACATTCTTGTGACATTCTGAGCAAATCTTTACTATAGACATTTTTAGTTATGACTCGTGCTTGGTGGTGTTTGTGAGGACCTTGGAGTCACCACTGTTGGTGATAGCTTTTGTAGTGGGCGTAGTGTTGTGGTATTAAGCGTAAAGGGCTGGTTTTCCCCCACACTGTAGAACCTCGGTTGGTGGGTTGGTGACCTCACATGGTTCTACCCGCCTGCCTTTATATTCTCTCACATCGGTCACTTTTTTCATGTGTATCTGCACTATATCCTTCGAAAAACGCTATTTCTGCTTCTTTTTTATTTCCAAATTGAAAAAACTGGAGTGCGCACGCACACGCACAGACGGGCACGCCCTTACCAAAACCCTCCGTCTTAAGTAAGACTAAAATGAGTAATACAGAGCAGGCAAGCTAGTCTCATGGTCGCCCCAGGAATATCCCGACAAAAACCAACGAAGCACAAGCAGCGAGACTCACCGGTACAGCAGGAGACGAGGCTCGCTACAACTGCGGTCAGGATAATTCCTATCATCCCCAAGTAGCAGTAGGATACGTCGTAGATAGTCTTGAACTCAATCCTGGATATAGTACAAGATATTTCTTAGATATCACATTGTTTAAAGGTACTTAATATTCTGCACTGAATTAATATTCCATAATTAATCTGTAAGTAATATTATTGTTTGAGGTATTAATGTTAGATTGTCAATCTGGTAACAATGTTTGAAATAATGGAAATTCATTACAAAATACATTGTTTGGTTTTCCTTAGAACAAAGTATTACACATATTGATGAGAATGAAGACATTAAAAAGAGCAAATTACACCAAATACACACACACACACACACACACACACACACACACACACACACACACACACACACACACACACACACACACACACACACACACACACACACACACACACACACACGAGCACACACACGAGCACAAACACACACACGAGCAGTTGGAAAATGTAATACCACTAGGAGCTAGTGACCATTGAGTCCTAGTCTTTGACTACATGATGGAGCTTAAAATTGTGACCAAAGGACAAGAGGTCCGGGAAAGGAGACTTGATTACAGAAAAGGGGACTACAGAAGGATGAGGGACTACCTGGGAGAAGTGCAGTGGGAGGAAGAACTTAGAGGAAAAACAGTGCAAGGTATGATGAACCAAGTCATATTGAAATGCAAGGAGGCTGAAGAGAGATTTATTCCAACAATAAAGGAAAAAAGCAGGAGGGAATATAATAACCCATGGTTTAATAGACAGTGTCAGGAAGCAAAGGTGAGAAGCAGGAGGGAGTGGAGGAAGTACAGAAGACAAAGGACAGAGGACAACAGGATTAGATGTAACAGAGCTAGGAATGATTACATTAACATAAGACGAGTGTCGGAAAGAAATTATGAGAATGATATTGCAGTCAAAGCGAAAAAGCAACCAAAATTACTACATAGCCATATAAGAAGGAAGATGTCGGTAAATGACCAAGTGACAAGACTGAGGAAAACAGAAGGGGCATATACAGAAAGCGACAAGGAAATCTGCGAGGTACTGAATGCAAAATTCCATGGAGTGTTCACAACCGAGCCTCAGCAGCTCCCATTGTTAGAAGAGATTACCCAAGATGAAAGACTATCAGATATAGAGGTGACAGCAGAGGATGTAACGAAACAGTTGACAACACTGGATGCAAATAAAGCTGTTGGACCAGACAAAGTATCATCGTGGATACCTAAAGAGGCAGCGCAGGCTCTCAGCGTGCCTCTGGCAATGATCTTTAATGAGTCACTTATGTCGGGAGAATTGCCCAGTTGCTGGAAGGAGGCAAATGTCGTACCGATTTTCAAAAAAGGTGATAGGGAGGAGGCACTTAACTACAGACCCGTATCACTGACAAGCATCCCCTGCAAAATACTTGAAAGAATAATTAGGCTAAGACTTGTTGAGCACCTGGAGAGCATTGGGTTTGTAAACAAGCACCAACATGGGTTCTGGACAGGACAATCATGCCTAACAAACCTTTTAGAATTCTATAATAAAGTAACAAGGATAACGCAGGACAGAGAAGGCTGGGCAGACTGCATATTTCTTGACTGCCAAAAGGCCTTTGATACGGTACCGCACATGAGACTGCTATACAAACTTGAGAGGCAGGCAGGAGTAAGCGGAAAGGCCCTAGTATGGGTGAAGAACTACCTAACAGGAAGGAGCCAGAGGGTAATGGTAAGGGGCGAAAAGTCGGACTGGCGAACAGTAACAAGTGGAGTACCTCAAGGATCGGTGCTGGGACCAATCCTCTTTCTAATTTACGTAAATGATATGTTTACAGGAGTGGAATCATACATGTCAATGTTTGCGGATGACGCAAAATTAATGAGAAGAGTTGTGACAGACGAGGATTGTAGGATCCTCCAAGAGGACTTAAACAGGCTGCAGAGATGGTCAGGGAAATGGCTACTGGAGTTTAACACCAGTAAATGTAAAGTTATGGAAATGGGATCAGGTGACAGGAGACCAAAGGGACAGTACACAATGAAGGGGAACAGCCTACCTGTAACGATTCGAGAAAGAGACCTGGGAGTGGATGTGACACCTAATCTAACTCCTGAGGCACATATAAATAGGATAACGGCAGCAGCGTACTCTACACTGGCGAAAATTAGAACTTCATTCAGAAACCTAAATGAGGAGGCTTTTAGGGCGCTTTACACTGCCTACGTGAGACCCGTCTTAGAGTATGCCGCGCCATCATGGAGCCCCCACCTGAAGAAACACATAAAGAAACTGGAGAAGGTTCAGAGGTTTGCGACGAGGCTTGTCCCAGAGTTACGAGGGATGGGATATGAAGAGCGGCTGAAGGAACTGAACCTTACGACACTAGAGAAAAGAAGGGAGAGAGGAGATATGATAGGGACATATAAAATACTCAGGGGAATTGACAAAGTGGAAATAGATGAAATGTTCACACGTAATAATAACAGAACGAGGGGACATGGGTGGAAACTGGAAACTCAGATGAGTCACAGAGATGTTAGGAAGTTTTCTTTTAGCGTGAGAGTAGTAGAAAAATGGAATGCACTTGGGAACAGGTTGTGGAAGCAAATACTATTCATACTTTTAAAACTAGGTATGATAGGGAAATGGGACAGGAGTCATTGCTGTAAACAACCGATAGCTAGAAAGGCGGGATCCAAGAGTCAATGCTCGATCCTGCAAGCACAAATAGGTGAGTACAAATAGGTGGGTACACACACACACACACACACACACACACACACACACACACACACACACACACACACACACACACACACTCCCCCCCCCCCACCCTCCTCCTCCCACTCACCTCCCTTCCCCCCCACTCACCCCTCTCCCCAGGACCTCCCTTCTCCCCATCCCCCAAGCCCTCCCTTCTCCCACATGCACTCTCGTCTCTCCCACCCCAAGCCCTCCGTTCTCCCCCGCTCCCCTAAGCCCCCACCCCACCTAAGTCTTCCCCTCTCCACCACTCCCCTAAACCCTCCCCTCTTCCTCACCCACCTCAGCCCTCCTTTCCCCCCCCCCCGTCCCCCAAGCCCTCCCCCCTTCCCTACATGTCACTTGAGGCAGTGAGCCTCAAGTGAGGCTTACTGCCTCACAGTTAGACTCTCTTCTTACTGTGAGGCAGGACCTGCCATCCCTGAACCCATGTTGATGCTGTGTTACAAAGGTCCTTCGCAGAAAGATGCTCCACAAGCTTTCTTCGCACAATTTTCTCCATCAGCTTGCACGGTGTGCAAGTTTGGGAAACTGGTCTGTAGTTCAGTGCCTCCTGTCTATCCCCCTTCTTGTATATAGGGACTACGTTAGCTGCTTTCCAAATATCTGGCAGTTCCCCTGTTGCCAGTGATTTGTTATACACTATGGAGAGTGGTAGGCACAGTTCTTTTGCTCCTTCCTTTAGTATCCAAGGGGAGATTCCATCTGACAAAGGCTATAGACCCAGATGGAATCTCCCCTTGGATACTAAAGGAAGGAGCAGAAGAACTGTGCTTACCACTCTCCATAGTGTATAACAAATCTCTGGCAACAGGGGAACTGCCAGAAATTTGGAAAGCAGCTAACGTAGTCCCGATATACAAGAAAGAGGATAGACAGGAGCCACTGAATTACAGGCCAGTGTCCCTAACCTGCATACCATGCAGGCTGATGGAGAAGATTGTGCGAAGAAAGCTAGTGGAGCACCTGGAGCGAAAGAACTTTGTAACACAGCACCAACATGGATTCAGGGATGGCAGGTCCTGCCTCAGAGGGTTACTTGAATTCTACGACCAGGCATCAAAAATAAGGCAAGAAAGAGAAGGGTGGGCAGACTGCATATTATTGGATTGTCAGAAAGCCTTTGATACAGTGCCACACAAGAGGCTAGTGAAAAAGCTGGAGATGCAGGCTGGAGTGAAAGGGAAGGTACTCCGTTGGATACAGGAGTACCTAAGCAACAGGAGACAACGAGTCAGTGTGAAGGGTGAGGTCTCAGATTGGCGAGACGTTACGAGTGGAGTCCCGCAGGGGTCAGTCCTTGGACCTATACTGTTTCTGGTATATGTAAATGATCTTCCAGAGGGTATAGAATCGTTTCTCTCAATGTTTGCCGATGATGCAAAAATTTTGAGGAGGATTGAAACTGAGGACGATAGTAGGAGGCTACAAGATGACCTAGACAGACTGAGTGAATGGTCCAAAATATGGCTGTTGAAGTTCAACCCGAGTAAATGCAAAGTAATGAAACTAGGCAGTGGAAACAGGAGGCCAGACACAGGATACAGAATAGGAGATGAAGTACTTAATGAAACGGTCAGAGAGAAAGATCTAGGAGTTGATATCACACCAAACCTGTCTCCTGAAGCACACATAAAAAGAATAACGTCTGCGGCATATGCGAGGCTGGCTAACATCGGAACAGCGTTCAGGAACCTGTGTAAGGAATCATTCAGAATCTTGTACACCACATATGTAAGACCAATCCTGGAGTATGCGGCCCCAGCATGGAGCCCGTATCTTGTCAAGCACAAGACGAAGCTGGAAAAAGTCCAAAGGTATGCCACTAGATTAGTCCCAGAACTATGAGGCATGAGTTACGAGGAAAGGCTGCGGGAAATGCACCTTACGACACTGGAAGACAGAAGAGTAAGGGGAGACATGATCACAACCTACAAAATCATCTGAGGAATCGACCAGGTAAACAAGGATAAACTATTCAACAATAGTGGGACGCGAACAAGGGGACTCAGGTGGAAACTGAGTACCCACATGAGCCACAGAGACGTTAGAAGGAACTTTTTCAGTGTCAGAGTAGTTAACGGATGGAATGCATTAGGCAGTGATGTGGTGGAGGCTGACTCCATACACAGTTTCAAATGTAGATATGATAGAGCCCAGTAGGCTCAGGAATCTGTACACCAGTTGATTGACAGTTGAGAGGCGGGGCCAAAGCTCAACCCCCGCAAGCACAAATAGGTGAGTACACAAATTTGGAAGACGGCAAACGTAGTCCCGATATACAAGAAGGGGGATAGACAGGAGGCA